AAAAATGGCAAAATTGTCCGGAGTTAATGAGACAGTGCCAGCATCCGAAACCGGACGAAAATACCCGAAATTGATGGAATTGGTTGAAATCGGACACGACTGTTCAAAATCTAACGGAAGCGTCTGAAAGCGGACGGAACTGTCCGAAGTTAAAAATCGGATGGAAGGGCCCGAAATTAGAAGGAAGGGTTCGAAATTTGAAGAGACCAATCGAACTCAGACGGACCCTATACGAAAGTGTCCGAAGTCGTACGAACGTGTTAGAATTTAACCTAACCAGTGTCCGAAATAGGACGGAAACGCTCGAAATCAAACGGAGATCGATGGGTCGCCCATTGTATAAGACGTTCCGTTCATAGTGCCTCATATTTTGTCTGTCTTTCTGCATAAAATGAACTCGTACTCGGAATTTATTTTTTTCCCATCCTGATTTGAGTGCTTTTTTATTTCTTTTAAAGATTAATACATATTCATGTCCATTTCTTTGATGAAAAAAACTTTTTTGCCCGAGTAAGACTAGTATTTTCGGCGTCTTTTATAAAGGGTCTCAACGGAATTAATTTTTGCCCTAAAACGACCAAAAAAGTAGCTGTTAGGCGCAAATATTGACAAATTTTTAGCCTTCAATCGTAAAAAAATTAACCGTTAAAATTTAGGATCATGCATGTATACATCGGTCGATACTCGGCCGAGTATCGGTCGATACTCGATCGAGTACAGGTCGATATAGCGGTCCAGTATCGACCGATACTCCTATCGGTCGGTATACTTGACGGTTCACCGATACTTGACCGATACTTGACCGATAGTTGACCGATACTTGACCGACACTTCACCGATACTTCACCGATACTTCACCGATATTTCACCGATGCTTCACCGGTACTTTACATCGGTCGATACTCGACCGACACGCGACCGATAGGTAAATGTTCCAGTATCGGTCGATATATCTACCGATAGATTGGTCGATACATCGGTCGATAGTATTTAGTATCGGTCGACAGTATCTAGTATGGGTCGATATGTCGGTCGATAGTATCGGTCGATATATCGGTAGATAGTGTCTAGTATCGGTCGATATATCGGTCGGTACATCAAACAATATATCGACCGATATTTCGGTCGGCAGACAGATGTTTCGGTGGATATGTATAGGTTCATACAATTCGGCGAATACACACCAACACCATACAAGGTTGACAGTATATCTCTAAATCTGCCAACATGCCGATATAGTAGTGCACATCAGGGATACCTCACCGAGTATCGGTCGTTTATGGAGAAAGAAAACGCGAGAAACCCCAATGGCCCACAGCAATTGATTAACGCTGTTGTGGACGGATCCCGCTTTTAATTTTTTTTGTGTGGAAAATTAACAAAATAAACCTCGAGTTTTCGACCTCGGAAAAAATTCACAGTTTACGAACCTCGCTGAAGCGGTTGTCAGCTCGGCCATGCAGCCAACCAATGAAACGCAACTCAGAACCCCCTAGCGAGTCTTACGACAAAGAAGTATTGACCGCTCCCGAGAAAGTTTTCGAAGTGACGTGACACTGTTTACATTTACAGGGGAACATTACAACCGAAAAAGAGAAGTCTACCGCAAAAAACTCATCAGCTTATAAACCGATTTAAGAGGGCAAGGAGAAAAGAGAAACGATAGCAGAGTAGCCTTTGAACAGGCCTAGTCAGCAACCCGGTCGGAGCCCAGCGTTCGGATATCTATACAGGGGCGGATCTAGGGGGAGGGTGCAGGGGGTGCGCACCCCTCGCTGACATGACCTGCGGCTTTCTAATACAACTGGTGTTTACGTCCAGTCACCAATCAGCTTCGCCATTCCATAGTGGTGCACCCCCTCCTAGAAAAAATCCTTGATTCACCTCTGACTATATATTAAAACTAAACGCGCGATTCACGCTTCGTCCGGTTTTTTTTTTTTACTAGAATATAGGGATAAAAAACAGTCTTTGAAGCAGAGGAAAGTAGTGTCTGAAACACAACTGCCATGTCAGATATCAGCGATTAATTTCATAGCAATTCCGCGGCAATCCAACTCGGTTTGTTTTGCCAGAAGAAGGCAGCGACGAAATTTGCTTGTGATTTGCGCTCATTGGGGGAGTGCTCAATTAAGATACTGTATTTATTTTATTTAATTGAAACTATATATCACCCGAAGAACGTCTGCGAGAAATAACTATTCCGATATGACCAAAATGCGATTTTAAAAATAATTTCATTCTTCCAACAAATTGTATCCATGTTGGCTCGCTTTAAGTCTTCTCTCAGTTCTTTTCCGCAACAAAGGAGGTATGACGTAGATTAAGGAACGCGTGAATTCAAACTGCAAGTAAACAGATCTGGAAAAATTACCAGAAAGATGCGTTGCGGCAAAAACAAGATGCGAACACTCACTACTTTCATTTGTTTGGTATCGAGAAGAGAGTTGAAAATACGACGCGCAGCGGAGTATTTTCGACTAGATTCGAGGTGTTTGGATAGCCGATGAAAGACTGTCTCGAGTGTTTGATATATCTTCTCAGTCGAAACAAAAACTAAGGAGTAAACGGAGAAGTAATATAGTCAAAATCTATGCTAATTAAGACCGGGTATCCAAACCTCCTTCACGGTTATAATTTCCTTTGTTTAAACTTGATGAATTATCAATGAGTTTGAGAATTGCAATTCAACAAGCGCGGACAACACAACACAGGACGTCACATGTTAGCCTATTCAGTGGCCAGGTGTATCGTAAATCTGTGGTAGCCAGTTGACAAAATCGACAAAATCGATAGAAAATATGAGGTCGATAGAATTTAGTTAAATATATCGGAAACAGGGGTTTCAATAGAAGCCGGTTACCGGCGGTCTACCGCCGCCTGTAGGACCTCTTAATGCAAGCGGTAACAAGCCCTATGCTCCCTAGTAATTCTTTCTTAGTGCGCGCTTGATGTATGATGTGGTGAGAAGTTGTGACATGAATTATGTGCTCAGTGAGGATGCGCGGAAACCATGGGCGCGAACTTCCTTGTAACTTGCAATTGTTTAAATAATTCTTTTAATGTAACTTTTTACTAGCCTTTTACAATCTATCTTTTACACAGGATCTGCATCGATAGCAGTGTTTTCTTTAAAACTGATGCAGCAATCATGTATAATAACTGATTCCTCTAAAATCTTTCTGTTTGAACTGAGTAGTACTGTGTTCTTCGAGAGTGCTCATTATTTAGGAAACAAGGAAAACTAGAGAGAGGCTTACATCCGGGGGTCGTTGTAATCGAATGAATTTTTCTGCTTACAAGTTGGTGGGTCTATAACTGGGGAGGGATTATAAGCGGGGGAGGGGTTCTTATAAACAGTGGTTTACGTTTTATTAAAATTACATCGCTAACATGTATGGTTTAAATGCCAATTTCATACAATAAAGGGGAGGATCCAGGAGTTCTTGAAAGGGGGGTTGTCGGATACGGGGCCATGCCCCCCGAAAATTATCCGGATTTTACCCTCTACAACGTAACTTGACAATCAGTCGATTGGTGGAAGTGAACCAACTTCGTATAAAACAATTTTATCATATTATTTTTATGAAGAGTTAAATAAATAACAAGAACATACTGTTCAAAGAGGGGGTTGCAACGCCCTCAACCCCTCGCCTGGATCCGCCTCTGTAATATCTTCTCATTATAACCTATGTAGCCTTATTTTGACCATCAAGGAACTCTTTAGCTTTTTCCTAAAGCTCGCTGTTATTGTTGTTGTTGAAAACGTTTTATTTTCTATGAAAAGCAAACATTAAAGTATCGGCAAAAATACGAGTTACTTCAGAATTTCACCTACTTCAATTAAACTGGTGAAATGTACATCAATTAATTCTAAAGGGTTAAAAAGACAATCGTTATTGAGTGGTCTGTTATGTTGGTCGATACTCAGCCGTTACTCTACCGAGTATATGGAGAACTTAAAAGAGCAAATGGGACTGGCACTAGTCCGAGAATGATGCATTGGATGGCGACAAAACGCTACCAATGAGCATTCAGATATTTGTTAACTAACGTTCCCTCCTGGACGTTTAAGTGAACAAGATATTGATCGAGTATCGACCGATACTTGACCGACAGTCGACCGATATATAACCGATAGTTGACCGATATACCACTGACAGTATCGCGGTCGATATGTCGACCGACACCATGAGTATCATTAAGTGGACTATCGGTCGATACATCGGTCGATACTGGACCGATATATCGACCTGTACTCGATCGAGTATCGACCGATGTATCGGTCGAGGCCCCCCATAAGATACATGATCCCTTATGATACATGATCCAAAATTTTTCTTTTGATCATAAAAGAAGGAAGTTAATGGATAGCAATAAAATGGCCAGAATTTTAACCGCTAACTGAAAAAGCCATCACCCCATTCAGATCCTTATGATATTGTTTTTAAACCGGGTCTGAGAGTCGATTGATTAGAAAACCCGGGTAAACAGAAGATGAAACAAAACGGGTACTGCAGTTTAAGCTAGTTTATGCCGGGAGCTCCACGACTTAACACCTTTATTTTTGTGTTGTTATGTTGCATGGCTGCTTA